AAAACATTCAGGTGTTGAATATATATATATATGTTTTATCAAATTCCATCATTTGATCTCCTAAAATCTACTCAAATTCTTTCTTTTTGGCTAAGTTTGATCCAAATTCGGCTGTTCTGATTCTTAAACCTCGCTATTAAGACTCCCATGCCCGTCTCTTCATCTTCAGACCCACAATAAAAAAAAAATCTTAATTTTTGGTCCTGCACAAAGGTCGAACACCCGCCAACCCCCGCGTGAAAAAAAGCTCTATCAACTGAGTTGCACTTATTTGCTTCAACATATAGAGGTTTATATTATTTTTATATAAATTCTCGTAGTAATATAATATATTCTCATACTGAAATCTTGATATTTTCAGTTGGGGGCAAATGATACATCTCCAACAAATCTCTATAATCCGACATAAATCTCGAGGCATGACATAGATCTCAAAACAATTTTTTTAGCAAAAATATTCAAACCTTGGTAAAAACTCATATGGAGCCCCGATTTTAACAGACTTACAGTCAAACTGACCGATTTGACAAAAATAATCCAATGTTACCAAAAAATAGTCTAATCCGAGTCAAATCAAGCTCAGATCAATTCATTAAACCACTCTTGAAAGTTTTCTAGACATATTTAGAAGGTTAAACAAATGCCTAATCTAGAAAGTTTATAATTGAATCGAGCGTCTCGATATGACGAATCCAACAAGCCCAAAATTGCTCAATTCCGACATCATTCAGCACTCAAATGTCCATTAAACGCCTTCTAATCGAAGGAATCACTCTGGACCGTCCGATCAAAGTGGTTTATATTTCCGCATTCATTGCACCCATAACACTATAATTAGAGCCCCACCCATCTCATGAGAGGAGGTTAGGAGCTGAAGTCAAGCACCACTCCTGTCACAGTTGATTGCCGCTTTCCGCCGTCGACCACTGCCGACTGCTATCAACACTTGTTAATCGCCGCCGATTACAGCCAACCATCTCCGATCGCCGTTGACCACTGTCGACCGCCGTCAACAACCACCTACCGCCGCCGAGCACTACTGTTACTGTCAGTCACCATCAACCGTCATCGACTGCTAACTACCTTCGATCACTGCCAGTCACCGTCAACCACCACTGACCGGAAGCAGTCAGTTGATCTTGTAATTTGAAAAATTCAGTAACTTTTTGTCGTCTGTGGGACAATGAGTCTCTGTAATATCAACCTATAGTGAATTTTTTTATATGGCCAGTCCGTGTGTTTTTTTTTTTTACGGGTTTTCCACGTAAAAAATTCTGGTGTCATTACTGATTGTTTTCTTTTACCTGAGTGTGCTGAATTCTCGTGCAAAGCTAAGAAGATAATCTATTACTCTACCGCTACAAATTTTCTAGAACGTATCACTGATAATATATTTGAAGTGTTCTTATTAAAAAAGAAAATACATTGTTCCTTCATGTATCTTGGCACCTCCTTTGAGTACAATTTTTCCCTTTGGTACATCTATATACACTCCTTTTGTTTTATCAAGGTTGAGATAATCTGAAATTCGATAGAGGATTATCTTTACACACCCATGTATTTAATAAAGAGGAAACTAAGAAGAGAATTGAGCATTAAAATCAAGTTAATATTACTATCAGTGGAGCATAAGATAATGGAAAAGAGGCACTGAACATTTTTTGTGTAATTACAAATCTTCTCTTTTAATGAAAAAATGAGATCTTTGCTGGGGCTTAACAATAGCCAAAGTCAACTTCTATCTTCTCCCCGGTTGTTCAAAAATTGGATTTTTGCCAGGTAATTTTTTTTCGAAAACAAATCATAAAGCACTCAGTGTAGCGACAGCAAATGAACTACATCATGCTGCAATGGAAGCTAACGTGAAAAGTTTTATGCTAGTGAGAAGTTGTAAAAGACAACTGTATTGTTTTCACAAGAAGCCTATTAAGGTCAAGTCTTTGAAATTGAGAATCAAAATATTTGAGTCATTGGAAGATGAAAAGAAAAATTGCTCGAAGTGAAGCAATCACTATTGCTTTGAAATATATCATAGCAGAGAAAGAAGCTTCCTTGGCAATTCCAAATGCGCTGATCTAGAATAAATATTGAGCTTATTTGAGCTCAGCTACTAAAATTGTTTAGGTTAATGTACTTATTTCAGGCAAAGTAGCAAAGCCATTTATGTTTTAAAGCATTTTACAAACCAATTGAATTGTTTTTCGTCCTGTTTTACCTTGCCTCTCTTTGATATTTATATGATAATAAAGAGGAAATATGTACTTTGTAAGTGAATGGGTTGGTGGATACACTACGAGAGCTTAGCCTTAGTAGCAACTGTCATGCAATGGATCGAGTACTAGGGATTAAAGCCTCATTTCCTTTTGGATAACCGTAATGTTAACCATATTGAACAGAGAAATATTGTAATAGTTTTTCTGCCTGTTTGCTTGTGATTCATTCAAGCATTATCATCAACATTTTCTAAACCTTTATACTTCATCCATGGATCAATGACAATAAGCTGCAAAAAATATGTTTTGTGATGTTAGCTAATATTAAACCATTTCAGTATCGGTCAGAGCTTGGTGAGGGAGGAGGAGTTGATGTTGGACGGTATGATTCCAGTTGCACCCATGTGGTTGTATCTGGGCGTGTTTTTGTAAGTTGCACTTTTTCCAGTTGATTTCACCTCTTTTTCCTGCTATATTTTTGAAGCTTATTTCACAATCCCGTACATCTTCTATATAGGATGATCCCGTTTGTGTAGCAGCGAGGAATGATGGGAAAATTCTGGTCACAGAATTGTGGATTGATGATAGCTTGGGCTTTGGAATGCTTGCAGATTCCACAAAGGTATTTCTATTTGTTCTTTCTTGTAATTTGTTTAGTTGTAACATTTTTTGTTGTGCCTGAGATTTTTTTCTCCAGAATAACCATATGTGCTCTGCTTTCCTTATTTGCATTACACAGGTTTTATATTGGCCTCCTAGAGATTTGAGTGGGATTCCTGGAAGCACGTCATTACACATTTGTTTGACTGGATATCAGAGACAAGAGCGTGATGATATCATGGTATGCAGGATATTTTTTTCGGTGATTTGGTTCAGCTGATGAGAAGTGGGATCCATTTATGGTTCATGATTATCTGTGTCATTTTTGGAGTGTTCTGCCAACATTTGATTAGCTATGCATGTTTGAATTGAGATGTTAGGCTGTTTGCAACCTTGTCATTGTATTGAAACTATGGCTTCGTCACTGGGAAATAGAGGATTCAAGCATTATCATCAACATTTTTTAAGCCTTTATACTTCATCCATGGATCAATGAAAATAAGCTGCAAAAGATGTTATTACGAGATCTATACCAACCAGTTGTGGTATATAGAATAAAAGCAGAAGAATGATCTTTGAAGCGAAAAAATAGAACGAGAAAATTCACATCAGAAAACAGTAACACACAGATTTACGTGGTTCGGCAAATTGCATACATCCACGGAGTTGCAGAGGATTTTACTACTTGAGGAATTTACATTAGTCGATCACCTCGACTTACAAGAGGAATCTCTCACTCTTCGTTGCTCTCTCTGTTCTTCTCTCTCTACACCGAGATACACCAAAGAAACTCTACACCGAGATACACCGAAGAAGAAACACGTACAAGAGAAATAAACCCAATTTCTCTTCTGCTACAAGCCACCAAGAAAAAGCCTAGGGAGAACAATTTTCTTCTTCTTCCTTCTTCCTATACAACAAGGAACTACTCCTTGCACTTCTCTTCCATTACCCCGTGGAAATCTTCATCTGTCCCGAGAAAACCGAAGAACTCAAAAACTGTGACTTCTCATAACTACAAAAGCTAAAGGAGAGCCGCTCTTTTTATCACGAAGAGAAGTGAGCGAAGGGATGATTCCCTTCGCGAAAGAGGAAGGTGGGAGCGGTTAGGGAAGCCGCAGATCGAATCAGCATCGCGACAGAGCGGCGCGACCTTTCGCGATCAGACGAATTCGCGCATGCGGGAGGAGGCAGAGACGGGATCACGATCTTCGCGATCGGGAGAGTGAAGGGGTCCGAATTGGGCTGCAGCGCTAACAATCTCCCACTTGGAGACCGGAACACATGCTACAACATCTGTTTCCTCAAACTGATATCCTCCACTGATGACGTCGCTCTTTTTTTCAGCATGAATCCTCCACCTTGAATCCTCTATCTTGAATCCTCCACCTATGGAACTGAAAACCTCTGTCTTTACTTCAGAAGACCAACTAAAACTGTGCACAACTTCAGTTTCTCAAAAGTAACACCCTTAGTTAACATATCATCATGCTCCACGTAGCTTTGCACCTCCAAGTTATTTCCTGGGTCACTCTTGTCTCTCTTACAACCTTCTTACAACTCCCACTGCATGAGCAATATTCTGCCTATGCTGAAAGTTTTTTTAACAAATCTAGCTTTGTATCTCTTACTGATATCACATTTAGTCTTCACTTGGTACACCCACTTGTTGTGCAATGTCTTCTTCCCTGGTGGAAGTTCTGTTAGCTCCCACTTGCTCGAACTTTCATCTTGCAATATTTCTTCATAGCTCTGTGGTTCTTCAACATCTGTCTGTGGAACAATAGAAATGGGTGCCCCAGACCTACTTTTCTCTTCACTTCCATCACTGCCCTGCACTATGGCCTCTTGTAGATTTCCTACCACATTCAAAGCCCCTAAATCTAATATCAAGTCTTCAATAGAACTATGAACTGCCAACAATAGTACATCTTGTGATTCTTTGGATACCGCATTTGCGCTATCATTCTCCATCTTCTTAGGATTTCTGCAGTTCTTCTTTATGTGGTCAGCCTTGTCACAATTTCAACAGGTTGTCTGCTTATTAAACTTTGATTTTGATCTCCCTATACTTGAGTTCCTGTCATGCCATCTCCCTCTGAAATCAACATTCAGTGCCGAACTCGAACCTAAGACCTCGCCAGAATCTTTACTACGAACTTCCTCAACCAAAATCAAATCATGAATATCATCGTATTTCAGTTTAAATTTACCTGCAGAACTGCTAACTGCTATCCTCATGACTTCCCAACTAACTGACAATGAAGTCAATAAGATCAATGCACATATCTCATCACAAAATCAATTTCCACAGACGACAATTGATTTGTGATAGTATTGAAAACATTCAGGTGTTGAGCAACAGAAATACCTTCCGCCATCTTCAAATTAAATAACTTCTTCATCAAGTGTACCTTGTTATTCGCCGATGACTTTTCATACATACCTGATAAGACTGCCATGAGATCTGCAGTCGTCATTTCCTTGACGACGATGTGTGCAACGGACCTCGATAAAGGGTCCATCGAATAACCCCCAGAACTTGTCGATCCAATAAATTTCATTCAGTTTCATCCGTTCTTTCAGGGCTTTTCCCCAATAACGGAAGATGAAATTTCTTCCCATAAATATAATTCTCAAGTTCTTCTAATAAAGATAATCCTCTATCTGCATTCTCCAATGACCAAAATTTGTGCCATCAAACTTCTTGATCCCCAAAACCTTCATTTCATCTGCAGCCATCATTCTTTCTCAGATCCGAAACCACACTTTGATACCAGTTATTGTTATTACGAGATCTATACCAACCAGTTGTGGTATATAGAATAAAAACAGAAGAACAATCTTTGAAGTGAAAAAATAGAACGAGAAAATTCACACCAGAAAAGAGTAACACACAGATTTACGTGGTTCGACAAATTGCCTACGTTCACGGAGTTTCAGAAGATTTTACTACTTGAGGAATTTACACCGATTGATCACCTCGACTCACAAGAGGAATCTCTCACTCTTCATTACTCTCTCTCTTATTTTCTCTTTGTTTTTCTCTCTCTACACCGAGATAAACCGAAGAAGAAACACATACAAGAGAAATAAACTCAATTTCTCTTCTGCCATAAGCCACCAAGTGAGAACAATTTTCTTCTTTCTATTCAGCAGAACTACTCCTTCCACTTCTATTCCACTGCCACGGGAAACCTTCTGTGAGTAAACCGAAGAACTAAAAAATCGGGACTTCTCGTAACTACAAAATCTAAAGGAGACCCGCTGCTTTGCTTCGCGAACTAGGAAGGCGGGAGCGGTTAGGAAACCACAGATCGAATCGGCATCGCGACGTGACCTTTCGCGATCAAACGAATTCGCGGTGCGGGAGACGGAATCACGATCTTCACGATCGGGAGAGCCAAGGGGTCTGAACCGGGCTCCAACGCTAACAAAAGAAATGTTTTGTGATGTTGGCTAATATTAAACCATTTCAGTACCAATTTACCATATTTGACAGGCATGCATGTTTGATCTCTTTTTTTATGTTTTTAAATATGAGTAATTACTATGTAGTCGATAACTCACGATATGTTAAATAATATATTTTTTAAAGATAAATTGTTGCAATTAGAAAATGAATAGTAGAAGAGAAGATTTATAGAAGATGAAATCAAGATAGTAAAAATGTAATTTCTACTAGATAGTTTTCGTTTATGTTTAATTAATTTTTTTGATTAGTTCTTTTCAAATCATTAGATCATTAGTAGTTAATAATATTAATTGAAAATTGATTTTCATTGTCTGGTCTTTTGATTTTGCCTTGAAAATTTCAAGCACTCTTACGCCATGACAAAAGTGGTTTTAGAGCACACAAAATTTAGGAATAAGTAGTATAGTCATTTCAAGCGAGTCGCTTAAAATGAATGCATGTTGGGATTTCGGCTTTAGCATCTTATGACTGGTTCTTGCTTAAAATGAATGCTAGGGAGTTCGCTTTACTTCTTATACATATGTGGGGGCTCGGCTTTGGCTTCCTGTGGCTTTCCCTGGCTTGAAATATATGTTATAAGAAAACTTGTTTAATTTGGAAAGTCTTGTATCTTGTTTTGAGAATTCAGCTTAACTCTTCATGAGACATCTCCCCTGTTCATATATTTGTTGGAATAATTTCATGCTTAAAATGTTGAGACATGCAGATTGGTTCTTTGGCTTTGGATGGCTTGGTTTTACCTTAAGGTGGCTGAAATTTTAATTTCTGTTAAAGCCTAATTTATATCAATGCTTGGGCCGGTTTTAATCTTGTTGAGCTCTGACTTTTGGCTTTTGAGTTTTCCTTGAGCTCGGTTTGGCTCTGGTTGGGGGCTGGCTTTGGCTTTGTCTCTGGTTGAGGGCTGGCTCTGTTTTTGGCTTTGATTGAAAGATCAGTTTGCTTTGCCTTGCCCTTACCCGAGAGGTGGTTGGCTGGCTTTAATTCCTACTCCTACCCGTGAAACCCATTGGAATTTCTTGAGTTTAATTTATCCCCTCTTGTTGAGTTTGAATCATTTGAATGATTATAGAGGGATTAAATTTGTTACCTTGAGAGATTGGTGATATTTCATACTCTCCTATGTATATCAAAGCTTGTAGGGAATTGAATCAAGTTTGTCATCCCAAAAATTAGGATTACTTTAGTTGCCCTTCGGTGTTTGTCGGGGGAGCGTTGTAGCAGCTATTGGTGCTTCTTCTGTTTTCCTTAGCCGTGAGCCCCCTTTGTGCTCTGGGTTGCCGTAGTCGTGGGC